GTCGTCGTTCATGTTCACGAGTGGCGAAATCTGTCCCTTAATCGATCGGCTATTGCTTCCGGAAGAAAAAATGGAGAGGAGTGGAAATGAATGCACCTAAACAACCCAACCAATCAATCGCAGCAGAAGGAGTGAGGACAGCAGCAGCAGTAGCAGTAGCAGCAGCAACACACCATCCATCGCCTGGCAGCCTAGGAGACCCAGTACACGCTCGTGGTCTACAGAAATCGCTCTTTTCGCAACAACACTCGCAACTCCGTGCGTACTGCTGTGGGGAAAACAACAGGGAGTGTGCATTTTTTCCACCATGGTGGGTTTGTAGCGGGGGGCAGGGAAGCTCTCGCGTGTTTATTTCGCCAAATATCCAACCCTCAACATCAACCACCGCTCTTTCCGAATCGGTGGCGTGGCCGCTGGCGTCAACCCCCCGTTAACAAAAAGGGGGATAGATCTAAGCGACACGCTGCTGCTGCTGCTGAGGCGGGGGCACTCTCATCCTGCTGCTGTCGGATTATCATCGAGCGGAAGGACATATAAGTTATATTCATCCGTCAACAGCAGAAAGGACCCGTTCGGAAACATTGCAGGCATCGTTCCTGCGAAAATCATTGTTGCATCTACGATACGTGCCGTCGTGCCCTCGTCAGTGCAGCCAGCACATGGCTGGCTCCCCGGGAGGAAAAAAACAAAACGTCCGATCGAGGGAAAGAGTGCGCAAAGCGCTCATGTGTCTTGCTTTCGAGGCTCAACCGTCCGAACAAACCACACTTCCAAACTTTCTGGTTGCTGTGCAAACAAGCCAAGGTCTCCTTTGCGTGGGAGGATTCGTTGCAGGCGGTGTGTAATGTTGCCTGACCTCCTTTCATGAACACCAGAGACCAGCTCGAGAGACGGCAGCTTTTTCAACAAAAAAACATGATCATGATCGGCAGGCTAGCCAGAAAACAGTGGCATATGCATGCAACATGGATACGCAGCAAGCAGCAGCAGTGTACCCAGTCACCAACACAACACGCGCGCGCGCGCATTTTGCAGCTGCTATTCACGTTCCAACCATTCGAACTAGCGAGAAAAGCGAGCGGACATACACGCAGGCACACACACGCGCCGGTCAGGAGTTCTCTCGAAGCGCATGCCGGCCACCACACGCCTGCTGCCGCGCAGCGGGTGCACACGCATGACACAACAGCTAGGTGCCTCTTCTTACTTCAATAGAGCTAATCTGAGAAACAACAACAACAACTTCAGTGTAATACCAAGGCGGCAAAAACGACAAAATTTGTGCACCTTTTCGTTTTTCGTCCATCGGAGAGGAAACAAGGGCTCCCGCACGAGGGCATTATTGTATCATGTCAAAAATGTCAAAGGCCCCATGGTTGAACGCCCACACAAACATGAACCAAGGGTGTGTGCGTCTTCCAAGTTTCGAACGCTCTCACTCTTCGTGTTGTCTCTCTGCAACCCCTCGACTATATGTTTGGGCGCTCTGTCCCCTTCTGGCCCACCGCTTTTCAAGGAGCGCACCGGACCAAGCGCATACGGATGGCTGCATTGCAGGTTATGTGCTCAAAGAGATCGCGGTGGTCTTATGTATGAGGTTGCATGCGTGGTCTGCTGGGTCATTTCTGCCGTCCGGCATCGCTCATATTTCTCGCATTCCGCCCGACCTTTACATCGATCGCAACAACAATTTTGCCTACTGCCAATAAACCCTCCCCCCCTGCATCCGTGTGGACGGCAATAGCCCGCCCTGAGCATGATGACCACTGCGTGCAGCACTCGTCTTGACGCGCATGATGCGACAGGCACGACGAGAACAATTCGAATTTCCCTGCTGCCGCCGCCGGCTGGGGGTATGTGACGATGCGCGCATTATGTGATTTTCTGTTTTCAATAGTATTGAAAGGTATTTGGAAAAAGAGAGGGCGACGAGAATGCAGGATACGTGTGCACTTGTTGACGGACAGAACATTCGCATTCGAAAAAGAAAAAACGTGCGACAAAAGTTCAACTGCAGCAACGACAAAGGGTCGACGATGACCTCAGAATGAACGGCACGCAGGGGCTGACGTGTGCGGCGCCGCCCCTGAGTGGGGTGGAGGATCGAACCAGGTTGTGGTGCGGTGCAAACGGTCAACGGCGGCGTGGCCGTGTTCATATCATCAGGCCAGCGGAACATCAGAAAGAGAAAAATATCGCAACTGCACTCGTATGCACAGATAAGACATTAGATGTAGATGGGACAACAAATTACGCGAAGGAGTTGTGATATTACAGAGCATACGCACGCACACACCTTGTGATACTCTCGGCTCGCTCCCGGACCGTTCTCGTCGGTGATGCGCCCCGGTGTCCCCCCAGTCCAGCCCTTCCAAGCATTGCGACGACAGCGCGCGGAAGTAGCCTATTCTTCTGGTGCAACTGCTGCCTCCAGCGCTGTCTCCGCTGCTGCTGCTGCTGCTGCTGCTGCTGTTGGCCTTTTCCCTCGAACACGGCGTTTCAGATTGGTACCACCCCCGCTGCCGCATGTCGGCATCATCAGCAAACGACGGCCCCAACCCCCGCCGACCCGTCGCCCCCCGATCTAGCGCGGGGACGAAGATCCCTATAGGGGCCACGTCATCCTCCTCGCCCTCCCCTTCGTCGTGGGCGCTCAGCTCCATCATGGCCTGGTCCGATACGGCGGATGATCCGGAGGTCTCCGAGCTCGAGTCGCTGTTTGCTAAAAAATCCGCTGCTGATGCCGATGCCGATGCCGTTCCTACGGCTGAGGAGTGAAAAAAGGACGGCAGGGGCTCCTGGCTGCCGAGCCACCTGGACAACCTGGCTCCGCCGCCGCCGCTGCCGCCTGGAGGCTCGGCCGCGTCGTCGTCGCCGTCCCCCCCCCCCAAGTCCTCCTCTGCTGTTGTTTCCATCGCCGAGAAGCTCACTGAGGTGCCGCGAGCTAGTCGAGAGAATTGAGAAGAACTCTGATGTTGTTGTTCACCCCGCTGCCGCTGTTTCCAGTCTGCTGCTGCAGCAGTATCAACAACACCCTCCCGATCTCGGCCGCTCCGTCGCATGGGAGGGCCGGCGGAGGATCGGGGCGGCATCCAGCCCCAAGACCTTATAATGGGGGGCTCAATGGTCGTAAAGCCTCGCTCGGCCTTGAAAACGGAGACGCCTGTGGGTGAGGGAAGCGAATTGTATGTCAAGTGTATGTGTGAATTCGCTTCTCTACCAGCTGAAAACGAGCAACAAGCATTCCACCAATTGCATTCCACGTATCTGCGTTCCCGCGAAAAAGGGGGGGGGCACCCCCCTGTTCTGCGGGGCACAAAATGCACCGGCGGCCCAAGAGCCTACCCGGAACCACAACAGACAACAACAACCGTCGGTTGGGCGGAGACTAAGTAAGGTCGGGCAGGGCGGCGGGCTATGGACTCTTTGGCTGGCGGGGATGCGTCTGCACACGACGAGGAGCACCAACTTGGAGCCACGAGCGCTCAAGCCCACATGGAGGTGCGAATAAAGCTGGTCGTTTGTTGTTGGGAAGGGTATGTTGATGGCGCCTGCACTGCCGATGCCTCTTCTCTACCCCCTCCCCCCCCTCGTTCGAGAGCTTCAGGGGCCGGGCACAAACACGGCCAAGCGGATGACCCTGTAGACAGTAGTGGGCACAGACATGCTGCCCTTTGGTTTGTGTAAGCTCGGAGTTTTGCGGAAGGTTCCGGGCGTTGTTGTCTACGGAGTACTGCTGTCCCGCAGAGATTACCTCACGACCTGGTTGCGCCGCACCTACTGCTGTAGGGCATCCAAAAACATCTTTGGTGCTGCCTTCGTACTCTGCAGTTTCACGAGCTCTCTTGCCTTATCCATGGCTGTTCCTTGCGGCGTGGTTCATTTTTCTTTATGTTGGCGTGTTTGATAGCAGTGGTAGATCTGCTGTGCGGGGGGAGTACAGCAGTTGCTCCCCAGAAGTGATTGTGCTGCTTGTGGTCCCCTGTTTCTTTTTTAGAAAATAAACATAACCTCACAGAAAGACTACCCGTTCGAGATATACATACAACTGTAACCTCAGTCAAAACGGATGTGAAGTTTTCAGTACGTGGAAACCAACTGGGGCGTGGCATATTTTGGGTTTGTGTAAGCCTGACACTGAGTTACCAGTAATGCCAGTTGGAGCTAAGACCAAAGCATCTGTACAGGCGGATACATTCTTAATTTTATGTGGAATGTGGCCTTCACAGGGAACATGGCGCGGTGTCGTTGGACAACTTGCTGTTTTTAGAGAGTACCTCGCTGCTTGTCTGGCGACTTGCTACAGCTAGTATGTACAGCTGTAGGACTGTTGCACATGTACACGCACCACCAAAAAAATCAACAGTTGGAGTTGTACTGTAGATTTGATGTGGCTGTTTCCCGCTCATTTCGAAATCTACGTTATGTTGTTCATCGTGTAGGTGAAACGCGTTCAAGGGGAGGGTGATACATAGGATAGTAGGTTAGGAGTGATACTGATTTACAGCAATGGAGTTTAGTCTCTCTTGTGTGTAACGTATCATCGAGGCAAATGAACAGGCGGCGGTCAGCACAGCAGTGGAGTCAATGTAAGTAGAACTTCCCTGTTTTTCTTCGAACGGTGTGTGTCGAAGGGTGTTGTCGAGACTGTTTGCAGCGTGTCTCAGCCATGTTGTAGAGCATCCTTCATGAAGGGCAGTAGCAGCAGCAACGAGTAATAGTCGATTGTAGTGGATCTTAACTGTTACACGACGAAAGGTACACACGCGTTGTATTCAAGTACACACCTGGGAGTTGATACACAGCAGGAGAAGGTGGTGTCAGCTGCGAAGTCAATATGGGTGAGCGGCTTTGCACGAAGCTCGATACAGCCTTCCCGCCTTGCCTTAACTCTTATCGGAGGAGAGCTATGATTGTATGTGGTACCACGGCAGGGATCCGAATGCCGGCTGCTCCGAACACAATATGAGAGGTTGGCGGTAGGGATAAAGCGTGAAAGTGTGCAAAGGGGGCTCCCCTGACCGTCTGCTCAATGCAGATTTGGAGACCATCGACGTGTTGTATTTTCACCTGCTCATATGACGTCATTTAATCTGAGATTTAGAAATTAATTTTGAAGAAGTTTTCACCTGGTTAGGTGTCGTTATTTGATCTGAGATTAGAAGATTTTGTTTCATCAGATTTTTCAAGGGACACTGGGCACTGTGTTCCCCCTTATGAATGGTTACTAGGGCAGTTTGTTGCCTTCGTATCGATTATTTTTCACCCTGGTGTTGGGTGATTGAAAAAGTTCTGACGTTTTTTACGTGTTGTTTTGCACGTTACATTCCTTCCTTCCGGAGAGAATTCTAACAAAACCATTGAGGTCCGTTCAATCATCCTCATGTTTCTAATAGTACGTTCAAATCAATCCTCACATCCTGATTGATACCACAGCAATGGCTACCTGCGTTGATACCAACGTCGTTGGTTATCTGTACTTCCATCGACAAAATAAGTCCTATCATGTTGCTCCTACCTCTACTCTTATTCTTACAAACTTCATAAATCACCCCCACGACAAATACGGTACCAAATGTTGTTCTCATCACCGTACCAAAACTGTACTCTGACATCTGAACTAAAGGAATTCGGAACATATACAGGTGTTTTCCCAAAGAAAGCTTGACGAAAATTGTGTAACTTAGTAATTAAAAAATCCTCCTTATAGTCATGTACTGTATCAACACGTCCCTCATCAGTTTTGCTGCAGCTAGCTCAAAATATTCATGCGGGTGCAAAGGACGGCAAATCTGCGTAACTGACTATGCAATACGGCATACTTTGAGCGGTGACTTGTTTTAGTCTCAATGTGGGGAAACCTACGATGCGACTTCAAAGAGCTCATAGTATCTCGTTTGTCATACATACGTGCCTGAAAACCTGTCATGTCTTGGACTTGATCCATGTCTAAAAAGTGCGCGCTGTGTCCTACTTGTTCTTGGTTCAACTCAATACTGGTAGGAATGAGATGTCCATCTTCATCACTAATCAGTTTGTCGTGCATTCCTCCTATCGTTTCGCTCGTGCCCAGGTCTGCCGGATCGTATAGAGTACTACCGCTATATATGACATCCCCAAGTCTTAAACTATTGGCTTGTGAAGCCAGAGCGACAGTTATGGTGTCATCAATGTATCGCTCTGTCCTTACGCCATATTGTTCAATGAACACTCGAGGGTACATAGACTCACGACGACTGTCACCACAAGATTGTGCAGCAGCTCTGAAGTCTGTGAGCATCTCTTTGTAACACCTTAACTCATGCATGTAAGCAAATACATCAGCAATATCAGGTGCAGATGAGGATCCCATAGGTATTCCAGAAGATTGGCGATACATATGAGGTCCAAACTGAAGGTACCCTTCCGTCAAAACAAACTCAAACCATCGGAATAGACGATCTTTCCCAATAAGAAACGTCTTCCCCTTCTTGTCCTTGTCTACTGGGACTGGTTCCTGCTTGGACAATGTACATCTTCCTTTTTAACGAACGGAGAGCTATCCTTAAAACCATACGTAACAGAAATTGAACGAAACTCAGGATCCCGGAGTTGGAAATCAAACACCAGATCAATGAATTCTTTCAATTGGACTCAAAGGGTAGGCAAAGGAATGTTAGTATACATAGCCACAAAATCATGCGCTTTTACAGTGTGTGGGGAGTAATCACCAGTTGAAAGCGCTATCTGGTCTGCCACGGTCAGCAGCTCCAGAATTTCGTCTCCACCTTCAGTATCAAGGATCGTTCTGAATCAATTCCGATGGTGCTTCCAACTTCTCTCCACAGTGCATCACAAACTGGTAACATTTCAGCTGNCCTTGTCTACTGGGACTGGTTCCTGCTTGGACAATGTACATCTTCCTTTTTAACGAACGGAGAGCTATCCTTAAAACCATACGTAACAGAAATTGAACGAAACTCAGGATCCCGGAGTTGGAAATCAAACACCAGATCAATGGATGCTTTCAATTGGACTCAAAGGGTAGGCAAAGGAATGTTAGTATACATAGCCACAAAATCATGCGCTTTTACAGTGTGTGGGGAGTAATCACCAGTTGAAAGCGCTATCTGGTCTGCCACGGTCAGCAGCTCCAGAATTTCGTCTCCACCTTCAGTATCAAGGATCGTTCTGAATCAATTCCGATGGTGCTTCCAACTTCTCTCCACAGTGCATCACAAACTGGTAACATTTCAGCTGAACACGCATGTGCCGTTCGTCACGCCCCTTCCGTAGTAGTAGCACAGCATGTGGTTATACTTCTAAAAGCTACCTTATCATCATGAAGTTTCGGCAGCAGGTATCTGGTAGGTTTTTTATGGGTTTTCCTAGACTTGCATTTTGTCGTGTTTGGGATCTGGAAAAATTCTTCAGGGGCAGGTAGATGTTCATCTTCCAGAAATTTTAGTTGCCGTGTGGTGATGGCTTCGTTCATTCCTTCAAATATGCCCCCAGTCATTTTTTCGTATCCCTCCCCATTAACTTCCGTTTCCGCTAGTCTAATATAGCAAGCCTTACACATAACACAAATACAATTTGCAGCCTTATCCACTCTAGTAAACACTACTTGTTTCTGAGTACTTTGAACGCTTTCTGAGCCTCTCGGAATACGATATGGCCCGTGTGCGGCAGATAGTCCGCGCCTTCTTCGGCGGAGTCTAGTTGCTCAGCAATTTTATCCACAACTGTCGAAATCCATTCCTGAATTTCTGGAAATTTAGTCCTGCTCTGTTGTTGGTCCGTCATTCGAACCCCTTGCACTCCACAGCTCCACAGCAGCACGCACCATCTTCTTTGTATTTTACCGGCCCGCTACATTAGTGGCCCAAGAACACCTGCGAATCTGTAAAAAAACAAACATCATTCAGGTCGCACAGGCTTAGTTAGGCCTAGGTAGCACGGCTGTTCCTTCCTAAAGTAGTCGTTGTACATGAGGTACATTGTACGCACATTACTTCGAAGTACTTAAAAGTACAAAACTATTCCACCTCCCGATCTAGTACCTTTCCATGTACACGCTTAGAGGAGAGGGTTGACATTTGGACAGGTGGTGCTGCTGATGTAAGCTGCTACGCTGCAACCATGCTGGCTACTGGCAGTGCGTGGGTCCTGTAATCCGTTCCATGCCAGAGGTGACGTACGAAGCGTCTGTGGTGCATGACACCAGTAGAAATAGCCATGCAGGCGGACAGGCTGGTGGCTACTGTGGTAGCAGGTTGTTTGTTTCTTGCTGCTGCTGTGTGTGTTGCCTGCTGCTGCTGCTGCTGCTGCTGCTGCTGCTGCTCAAGTGTTGTATAGGCGTTTTGGTTTCCGGAGACGCACCTCCCGCAGCCCAGGTCACAAAGAAGCGACGACATACATGTCCGTAGGTGTTGCCGCCCCCCGCCCCCCTCCCCTGCTTGAAGATTTTTCAAGTCCGGGGTATGCAGTTGTGCCGTGCCCCAGCAGCAGTTTGATTCAGTCGAGCAAGTCCGAGTCGAGAGTCGAGAGTCGAGAGCCAGCGTGAATTCAAGCAGAAATAGAGACAGAGAGAGATACGTGCAGTCAAATTTGGGCTACAAACGAATTCAAATTCGGTACGGAAATGGATGGAGGCGTCTGTAAGCCGTCTTAATTATCCACGTAGTGGACTACACGAAAGTTTGGGTGGATCAACCAGGCTCCAGGCCAGTGGCCAAGGACAACACACGGCTAGGAAAGTATGGGTGGGACCACGGGCCGGAGCTGGAGGCCTCATCCCAGAATCCAATACTTACGTTAAATGATCCTAGGCCAAGAGCAAACAAATCTGGGCTACAAACGAATTCAACTTCGGCACGAAAATGATGGAGGCTTCTGTGGGATAATATGTTGAGAAATGCATATAGCCGATCATTGTCTTTCTCCCCACCGTGAATACGAGAGGACACCGGGTAGGAGAGGAACAAATTTGAGACCGCCCACCCTCCCTACTCTCCAAGCTTGATGCTCCTGGATCATTTACAATATTCATTACCGCGCCGACCGCAGTCGCAGTCGGCGCGATAGTGCATCTATGGGACTACCGGCCTCAGAGCTGGAGGCCTCATCCCAAAATCCAATACTTGCATTAAATGATCCTAGGCCAAGAGCAAAATACAACAGGAAGTGCTGTGATGACGATGGCGTATGCTATGTGTACGTCTATGATGTGTGTTGTACCTGTCCATGTACACGCTTGGAGGAGAGGGTAGATCCACGCTGCTCTGTGGTTCCTAACCGAAGCACACAGCCATCACACAGCTGCTACGAACCCTCACTGCTTGGTGTCTGACAATCCGTTCCGTGCTAGCTCATGGCAGTAGCAACCGTCTGTGTTACAGCAGTAGTAGCCTGCAGCCGAGCAGCCTGGCAACAGCCTGGCGGCCGTTGTGTTTTTGTTTTTTTCTCCCATCATTGGACTCTGTCGTCTGCCCCTCTGGCCCCTATCCTCCACTTCTACTAGCTAGACGATCCAACCGGGGTCACATAGGAGGGGGGGGCTGGACCCCCTCCTGCGGTTCCTGCCTGAGGTATTTTTATCGCGAGAAGGGTACAGCAATACCTTCCCTCGCGACTTCCGAAGTCGATTATGGTTTACTAACAACGAGCTTTGCAGCGCGTCGCTTTCATCCTAGACCAGGATTTATTTAGTGAGAAAAAAATTCACTTTGCCGGGACTCGAACCCATGACCTAGGCTGCGAGGTTACCCACTAGACCACCGGGGCGACCGTATGTATGTTGGCTACTGCTAGCTTGTCGTTTGATGTATCAGCTCTGTTGCGTTCCCTGCTGCTGCTGATGTGGTGTACAGGCGTTATGGTTTCCGGGGACGCACCTCCCGCAGCCCAGGTTACAAAGAAGCGACATTAGTGTCCGTAAGTGTTGCCCCCTCCCCGCCCCCGCCCCCTCTGGATGTAGGAACAAAGCTTAAGGTCAAATTCAGGACCGGGGACATAGGCCTTCGAGAACGTCGACGAAGACTTAGGACGGTAGACGACGAAGACGACGAGTTCAAATGTGATTGCAGCTTCGAATGTGAAGACCGTGTTCATGTAGTCGCGGAATGTCCGTTGTACAAGAAGGAGAGGGAAGTGTACGTGACTGAGCTGGGACAAATAGATGGGACGTACAGGGAAATGTTTGAGGCGTGGAATAGAGAGGANCGGACTCCGTCCCATGTGCGGTGTGACTACTGCTGCTTCAAGATTGTACGTCCAATATGTAGAGCAGTACCTACATGTACCGTCACACAGCAGTGCGATGGTACACACAGCGAGAGATTCACACGCACAGCTTCTGTCTGTCACAGCAGTGCCATGGTATGCACAGCGAGAGGTTCACACGCACAGCTTCTGTGCGTACAACTGTGTGCGCGAGCAGCACCAGCAGCAGCGCCAGCAGTACCATTGATAGAGCCTCCTCTGGTGCTGCTTTGCGATGGAGCCCCTTGCACGCTCGAGATGTAGGTCACAGCAGTCAGTCTCTTGTATGCACGCGCAATTCTACTTACTGCTGCAGATATGCTGCAGTAGATGGAGTCTCCTCTGCTGCTCTCATTGAGTAGCCATGGAAGCTGGGTGACAGCAGAGCCTGTTGTCTGCTGGGACAAAGCAGTAACTACTATAACGGACCCCCCCCCATGGCTTGCTTGGTTCACCTCACGCGTGGTTTGCTTGGTTCTAGAATATATTTTCTCACTTTTAATAAGGAGCAAGAAAATTGGTTACCTTGTAAAAGCGAGGTGGATCCTACGCTACACTTGCTGTATGTTCGGTAAGCTAGTGGTGGGTCGGTATTCTCACGCTCCACGGCGCAGTGGTCTAACACTCCACGGCGCGGTGGAACTAGGCAGCTCTCCCAAGGCCCGAACAGCTCTCCCCAAAGCACTACTGCTGTAACTGAACAATCACGGTTGGACTGCTGTTCCAGGTTGACTGGCGTGCGTTCCTCTCCACAGCAAGACAGGGCGGCAGGACAAATCGCGTGCGCAGCCCCGCGCTGTGGAGTGGTTGGTAATCTACACGGTACTCTATCTTCTACCTGCTGATATTTACAGCTGATATATCCCAGTGGTGCCCGATGATGTGGCAACATATCAACGCGCCGCGTCATCAATGCCCAATTGAATCGCGGCCGTAGCCGCGCTTTGATGCAGGGGCTGCGTCTGTTGATGTGGACGTCACGAGCGTGTCCGACACGCAGGTGTTGTATGCAGTGGGTTCGGGCAGGCCGCCCGCGACGCAGCTACAAGATGAGCGATCAATACATAATGGCGAAAACAGATAGGTAGGAGCTGGTTCGTTAGATAGCATAGCATCAAAACAGCAGCCACAAGAACAGAACAGCAGCCAGAGCGACAACCACAGTAATAGTTGAGAACAACAACGATGTTCTGGCAGGTGGTCCTAACCTTCTGGAAGGAGTTCAACCTTGACGGGAGGCGACTGCAGCTCGACAAGCAGGTGCGTGCTTGCCCTCTTGTTATTCGCGTTACCCCTGTTGATTGAGTGTCCACGGCGTTAGGTTTTCGCCAAGGAGTAGCTCCGTTCAATGTTTTTCATGTGGAATTCCTCGACCGAACACAACAAGTACCTCTCAGCTTCAAGCGAACGGTGTGCGGGTCTCGCCGAATCGATCACCACAAAAACAAACAAGGAGCTAGTTGACGCCAATGATAGACCGCAACAGACCGGTCATGCCTCATGGCCAAAGTAGACCAGGCACAGCAACGGACGGGGGTGTTCTCATATTCCATGTAGAACGCATGTCGTAGTCGTTAGATCATTGACCTCGCATCCGGTACGGAGCGATATGCCTTCCGGGTTTTCGCCGGCTTAGGCTAACGGACGGGGAGAGTGCTCATACCCGTGCATGCCGTAGTCGTTAGTCCGTAAACCGCGCATCCCTACAAAGCCGGGACGGCGCACGTAGGGTTCTCACAGGACCAGGCTCACACATCACCCAAGTGCAATGCGCCGCGAGATATACTTCTATCGGACGGGATGTGTGTGGCGTGAATGAAAATGTGTGACGGCACCCAAATGGAAATGGAATGGAATACCATGGAATGGAATACCATGGGATCGCAGGGCCTGGAGCTCCAAGATGCGAAGGACGCCAGCCTCGTCAGGCGCAAGAACCTGGCCGAGCTCACCAAGGAGTTCCGCAAGAAGTGAGTGTTTTTTTTTTTTTCCATCACTATAAATCAGCTCTGCCGGGTAAGACATGAGTGAGGCGTCAATAATGATCGGTGATGAGTGATCTGGTATGGCGTTTTCGTTGTCTAGGCAGGCTATCTGCGCCGTCCACACAAGATAAGACGGAGATCAAGGCTTCGAAAACGATCGGTGATGAGTATTGTATGACGTGTCGAACAGCTACATAGGCGGCAGCATAGATGGGACGGAAACCAAGAGAGAACACGGCACGGTATTTGGGGATTGGAAGTGGAAAGAGGAACAGTGTGCGGAAGTAGGATCAGGAAGAAACTCGACCGAATCTGTTTCTCTTTCGTGTTGGACCACCTTGTGGCCTGCTGGCAACCCGGGAGCCAGTGTTCAGCGACTCGAATTGGTCTGACAAAGATCACCCGAGCATGAAGTTTAAGGTCTTGTTTTCGTCGTCGTTGTTGTTGTTGTCGTTCTTTTCGATTGTTTTTTCTGTTGCTGTTGTTGCCTTCGCGTCAATAACCCGTTCTGATCTCTGCTCAGTACCTTCTATGATATGTGTACGTGGGTAGGAGAACCGTTCACCATAGGCACCAGACTCTGGAGAGCCGACAACTTCTTGAAGTGCAAGCGTAACATATGAAGACCCCTATTTCAAACGCCATCCTGATCCAGATCCGACCAGGAGAAGGTGGCGGGTGTGCAGCGGCTCGTCAAGGCGTACCAGGAGGAGATAGACACCCTCGCCAAGCGGTGCCGCGCGTCGGACTCGGCCTTCTTCTCGCTGTACAAGGGGCTCTACGAGGCTCCCGATCCCGCGAAGGCCCTGGAGCGGTCCGCGTCCGAGAGGCCCCGGGCCGCGGCTTCTGAGGCATGGTGTTGTTGTCCTCGTTGTTGTTCATTTAGTTGCCATGTGGCTGATGTTGCTGTTGATGGCGTGATGGGTGTTGCCCATGCGGAAGATGTTGTTGCTGGTCGTCGTCGTCGTTGTTGATTGTGGCGGAAGTGGTATCATGTTGGCGGGTGCTAAGCAGTCGATCGAAATCCCGATCGTACCCGTATTTATTGTCGCGCTCGCCGCCGAGAATATCGGCTTCCCATTCCCCCACCCCCAACCCTCGTCGACCGTTACACGAGGCGCGTTGGATCGTCCGTTCCCTCCAACGGAATTGTATTCGTTCTTGCCACCCTTGGTCGTGCTGCATGCAACCACCACGTCCAATAGCCATCGTGTCCATAGTTATTGTATCGCCGCCTCTCTTGCTGAATTGAATTGTGGTTGCATTCGCCCTCGCTTCCTACGGTATCTCTTGACACCAAATTCTGCCTTTGTAGCTGCAAGTACCCCATGCCTCGCAAGTTCGTAGCCCTCTTTGTGTCTCGCCGCGTCTGCTCTTGACGTTCGTTTGCATTGCGCCCTTGCCTCTTACGGTATCTGTCAAATACCAGCTGGAAGTGCAGAAGCTGCGGTCGGAGCTGGCGGAGTACGAGGAGGAGTTTAGCAAGCTCAAGAATCAGGTGTGGTTTCGCCCCTAAGGCAATGGTGCCACAGTACTAGCCTCCCGTCGCCTTGTTTCTCGGGCATCTCGATGTTCCGGCTTGGGAGTGTCCGTGCACCCGTTTCTTGTGAAACAGCGTTTTGTGGTTTTTTCTTATTCGATGACCCAAAAAACGTCTGTAGGGCATGATAGCCCGTTGACGCCGCTTGTACTTGTCGACGGCCTTAACTCCGACGAAACACTCTGCAGGACATCACCATTCGTCGGCTTGAAGACGTGATTGCGGAGTTCGAGGAGGGCGCGGAGGCCAAGGTAGAGGAAGAGGCCGAAGCGCGTCTAAAGGTGGCTCAGGAGGTGAGGAAGAGGGGCGGACGTGAGCTCGTTCTATGCAGGGGAGGGCGGGAGTGGCAGGGGACAAAGGTAGAGGAAGAGGCCGGAGCGCGGTCAAGGGCGGCTTAGGAGATGATGAGCGGACGCGAGGTGGACGTGATGTTGTTCCTCTGGGATGCTGGGATGCTTGGGGGGGGGCGTACTCGTAAAGACAACAGCATGTGTTGTCACCCGTGGTTCCCGTCCTGAAACAGGACGAAGCGCGTAGTTTATTCGCCGACAAGACTGTCGTCCCACCAAGCTTGCAGAGGGGGGGGGGAGGGACGCAGTCACGCGCTCGTTTTTTGTTTGAATGTCTTGGATTGTTTGGCTGCCCATCCCGTTCGAGTTTGGAGGAGGGGAGGGGGATCAGTCGTGCTTGGCTTGTGTAGCCTCTTGATCGTGTGATTACATCCCTTCTGAGTGATGCCTCCTAGAAAGGAAGCATTCTTTTTGAATTCCTGGATCTTATTTTGTTGGTAGATAACTTATGGGAGACGGGGGGGCGGCCTTTGGATGGTCTTGTATCATGTTTTGCTGCTGTTTGAGACGAAGCCCCGCTTGCCCTCTTATGAAATATCGTGAAGGCTCTGGTATTCGTTACCTTCGATTGGTTCCGGTGCCCAGGTAGGTGCCGTGGGCGCTTGATTACTGTGGGGCGTAGCTGTTGAAAACGGCTAGGAGTCAAGGAGCATGTGATTGGTGTTGTGACAGCCGTGCTTAAAGCATATCTGCAATGGTTCAGCCAGCACTCGTGTGGGTTTGTAAGTAGACCATTGACTCCTAACCAAGATCGTGCCAACACCAAAAAATGGTGCTTTTTGCAAGCATCTCATGGAGGTCTTGTCGCACACGTATCGGGCTCTTTCCGGACCCCTTTGGTTCTGAAGCAATCGAGCTAGGAATATCGGTCTAGGGGTGTGTGCCATCTCTCTCTGCCTCTGACCGTAGTCCGAGCAACCACACCAGCACTGCCAACTTACATGGCAACTGGAATACCAACGGCGGTAGCTGCGATGATCAGCCCCATCGTTTTCGCAGTGCCACTCGGTTCTGTTAATCTGTACTGTCGTCGGTCTGGTGTTGGGCAGGCGGCGGATGCGAAGTTGGAGGCAGCAAGGGAGCGGGAAGCGCAGCTGGCAAAGAGGTGAGTGGCCGGGTTGGTCTAACGATGTTGTTTGCTGATGCTGTTGCTGTTGCTGTTGCTGTTGTTGTTATTGTTGTTGTTGTTGACGATGCTGTTTTGGGGGACTTGTTTTTCCTGCTGCTCCTTCCCACCGTTGCCGTAGTTTTTTTTGTGTGTTTCGTTCGTGCCTGTTCCTTTATTCTCTAGCCCTCGAGGGAGTATATGCCGTCTCGTTTCCTCCTGTGCTGTCCTCTTGGTTGTATCATATTTTGTGGTAATGATTGCCGAGCGGAAGCGGCGGACTCTGTTTTCTCGTCTCCCTTGCCTAACAGGTCGCCGGCGACGCCTGGGGCCTGTTCATTACCATTTGTTGCTTTCTGTATTTTATTGACACCATTTATTCTCCAAAACGTTGATGACGACGACGTCGTCGTTGTTGTTGTTGTTTGGGGGGCTTGTCCCTGCTGCTCCTGTCCACCATTGCTATCGTCCCTTTGTATTTCGTGTATGTTTTCCTTTGCTCTGAAATCTTCGGGGGGGGGGGGG